TCCTCTGGACATGTCCAAACCACTGTCCCTCCTCTGGACATGTCCAACCATCTCAGCCTGTCCTCTGTAACTTTGTTCTCTTCAGATCTTGAAACATTTCTGAAACATGTTTTATGCTGCTGCTTCTTTTCAAACAGTTTTTATTGAACAAAACGTTTTAAAAAACGAGTTATTTAAATTTAACGTTAAAGACAGACGTGTGGAACTCCGTCAGGGACGATCAAAATAAGAAACTTATATCTGGGTCATAAAGAACAAGTCGATTCAGGATTTTCTTGTTGAGTAAAATTATTTAATGAATCCTTTTTGTTTGATTTTTGGATTTTAAAATAAACTTGTTCATCCTGAAACATTTTTAGTTCAACTTTTGTTTTTCTTTGTTTACTTTGTATATTTTTGTTATTTAATATGCAATCGGAACAAACAAGTGTAGTATGCTGGTGAAGAATCTCAGTCATCCAGGACACGATGAATTCAAAAAGCATTCAATACAAAAACAACTGGACTTTATTTGTAACAGAAGACGTTTAAACGTCTTCTGTTACAAATAAAGTCCAGTTGTTTTTGTATTGAACGCTTTTTGAATTAAACAAGTGTAGTGCTGTTTAGTAATGTGTATAGTACTATGTGTAGTATTGTGTTTAATACTGTGTGTAGTACTGTGTGTATTCTGTGTGTAGTACAGTGTGTATTACTATGTGTAGTACTGTGCAGTACTGTGTGCATTACTTTATTACTGTGTATAGTACTCTGTGTACCATACCATACCATTTAATTTATAAAGTACTTAAAACAGCTACAAGGCCAACCAAAGTGCTGTACAGACAGAACAACAGGTAACACACAAAGCAAAATACAAAATGAGGTAAATCAGAATATAGACATAAAAACGATGCAGATAATGACGACTAATATAGTACTCTGTGTAGTACTGTGTGTAGCAATGTTTGTATTAATGTGTAGTACTGTGTGTATTAGTATGTGTAGTACTGTGAGTAGCAATGTTTGTATTAATGTGTAGTACTGTGTGTATTAGTATGTGTAGTACTGTGTGTATTAGTATGTGTAGTACTGTGTGTGTATTATTATGTGTAGTACTGTGTGTGTATTATTATGTGTAGTGCTGTGTGTATTATTATGTGTAGTGCTGTGTGTGTGTTCTATGTGTAGTGCTGTGTGTGTGTTCTATG